TCCTTCTGCGTAGTCCGCATTGGCACAGTAATAGTCGCGACCGTTATTAGCTAGCTAGTTAGCTGGACGTGCAAAAACCATAAATTAGGCCAACTCCGTCATCGTGGTGGCAGGCCGCGTCTTCTACCCTAAGTAATTGGCTCGCCGGTACGAAAAGAGCGCATCACCGACTGAGCGATACCGAGGAACTGAATTAGGCAACAAAGATTCTCACGATGCGGCAATGATGAGGGGGACTGGGGAGAGAGGATCGAGTGGTGGCGTCTTCGATTCATGTTCCGAACCAACTAAAACGAATTTAACTTACTCTTTTCTGCCTGTGTACCAGATGCCACAGATCCATGGGAAAGAATGCCAGAAGCATATTGGGGGTGAAACCACCGAGGCCTGCGTAATCGCCCCTCAATGGTTTGGCGGAGGAGCCACTTTCTTACTAGCGACTAGTGACTTTGTGGTTAGTCTTCTTCTTATCTGTGAGGATATCCGTTTTTTCACTTTTTGATTATTGCTTTATTTGCTCTCCTCAATTTTACCATCTTTTTTTTTTTCTACTTTCCCCCTCGCTTTCCTCTCCTAATTGGATTAGCGTGGATGGCTGTCGGCCAGTCATCGTCGGTTACATAAGCGGGTTTACCTTTTACCGTGGCCCCGTGGGATTGCCAATGATGGCCCCACAGTCCGACTGGTTGCCAACCACTGGTTTATTTTGCAGTAATTAGTGGCCCGTCTTTAACGAGGCTACTAACCTAGAATGAACTGGAGAGCTATTGATTTGGGGGAGAGAGTTACTGTTCAACCGCCGGCCGAGTAGTGGCTCAGACATTATCTTCAGGCTGGGACTCCCTTTCCAATCTCTCGTTATTTCCCTTCCGGAAGAGTAGTTAGTTTATCTATCAGCTGGAAGGATGGACCACGAGGTCCTAGGCGTCATCGATGAACATGGCTCAGAGGGGAAGATAATGGCAGTGCGAGATGATGATGAGATCAACAGGTGCTGATTCCGGAGTGAAAATAGAAACCACGTACTACTACTAACTGGTAGCTGGATATACTTTGATGGCGGTGCAGTGTGTCATTGGCACTGCAGTGAGGAGGACCTATTTCTCTCTCTCCTCATGTACATACAGTATTGTTCTGGATTTAACGAGGTCTTCTATAGCTATTTAATTTGATTACTATTTATTATTCAAATTAATTATAATTTTAAATAGTAGTAAACTCCTCAACAAGTTACGAGTCTCCCCGACATGGCTAGTCCCAGTCGGCAAATGAGACTAACCCAACCAGGCATCGAGACGACTGAAAGAGTCTTAGTGGCGGAGGCTTAGCAACTGGCGCCAACCTAAAGCATCCACACCAGCATCTCCACTTTTCTTTGGCTTGGTGTCTCCCCACTGTTTTGCTCTCTCTTTCCTCTCTGTTTGTGTCTGTCTCTCGGTCTCGCTTTCTTTCCCCCAGAGAGGAGGCGCCTTTCCTTAGTTTCTGCCCCCCCTTTAACCCGAAGCTGTGTCCCCTGGCGCTGATGACGGTCCATTCAGCGCAATTCCGACCATTCAGGGCTCTCCGTAACCATGGGCCGTTGTTGACACTCGCCGCCCGCCTCCTCCCCTCTCCCTAACTCTCTCTCTCTTTCGCTCGCTCGCTGGCCTTCTCCGTTCTCTTTCCCAGTTCCCCAGGTACCCTCGCAAAGGGATTACTTTCTCGACGGCTACACTGCCCTCTTCCTCGTTCCCTACTCCTGCTAGTAGTACTTACTTACTAGTTGATGCCACGGCTTTGTTGCTAAGGCGTCGTTCGTTCCTTCCACACACGCACCCCTCAAGTACCTGGCTCTCTGCCTATCAACTTCCATTCCTTCATTCATTATTTTATAATTCTTTTTTCCCCTTCAGTTCCCTTTTTTTTTTGTTTCCCACCCTTGCGACCCAAGTAAAATTACGCACTCCCTCTACTTAATTGTTTTTCAATCTTCTTGTCTGCTTTGGGTTACAATTACTTAAACAACGCCTCTGTGGCTTCCTCTTTTCGTCACTTTTCCCAATAAATTCCCTCCCCGCCCGTCCAGTCCAGCGCCATTGGGGCTTCCGATCAACCTCCCCTACTACTACTAGGCCATTCCACCACCACCACTACTACTGCTTAGTTCTATACTACTACTAAGTGGTCGTCTCTTGGTCCAAACCTTCTCTTTCACCCTTGTGCCGGTCCTTTCCTGGTTCAGTTACCTCGTTCGCGCTTTATACTCTTAGACTCAACAATCCGTCTGCAGAGTAAACTAAAAGCAGAAAAGGGGAAAAAAGAGCCAACCAGCCAGTTCCACGGCCGTTCATTCCTTCAGTCAACTTTGACGACCCCAGGTCATTATCCCCCCGCGGACGCTCGCGTTGCAATTGCCTAAACGTTGCCGGTGCACCCACTCCTGTCCTACGAGTCTATGTTGGTAGTACCGTGTTGAGCCTCGCATCTATTTTCCGCCGGTGTACTCTTATCGCACCATCCCCCCCAGGCCCTTCCCGTGGAAAAGAGCAGATACCGTTCGATTAGGTCTCAGTCCCTCACGGCCGTCTGCACCTTTCCTTTCTCCGTGACACGAATTTACGAATTGCGATAAATCAATCAGAGGATTAGTCCTTGCATCGGGATACGAATCCGCCTCACGTCTGTACACTTGCGCACTCCCCTATTGAGCAGGTGTCGTTCAGGGCCCCTGCACCCTCTTTCAATATGCGACGTGGACTTCTCATTTTCCTCATCGCAAATCTCATTATCGTCACATTCCTCGTGCGCAGCGTCTTTACACTACTCTCCCTGCTAGTGGAAGATGCTTCCGCCGACGCTATCCACCGCGCCGAGCTCCCCTCGCCAAACTCCAGTTTGATCGAGCAACGTCCTCAGATCATTCCCAAGATCATCCACCAGACATACAAGAACGAAACGATCCCGGAAGTGTGGAGGGAGGCTCAGCAGAGCTGCATTGATTTGCACCCGGACTACGAATACATTGTATGTTCAGCCGGGTCGATGTACGACTGTCGTTCACATGAATACTCTTACTAACGCGCATTGAATTAGCTCTGGACCAACGAAAAGTCGCGCGAATTCATCGCCAACGAGTACCCCTGGTTCCTCGAGACGTTCGATGGTTACAAGTATCCCATCCAGCGTGCTGATTCGATCCGCTACTTTGTCCTCGCACACTACGGTGGCACCTACATTGACCTTGACGATGTGCGTATAGCCTATATCATATTAGTTGTGACCTTTTCTGACTGTATCTCAGGGATGCAACCGCCGTTTAGATCCTCTCCTCGCCTACCCTGCCTGGGTCCGTCGCACTGTTCCTACCGGTATCTCCAACGACGCCATGGGATCTGTTCCTCAGCACCCCTTCTTCCTGCGTACGATTGAGCTACTGCAGTCGTACGACCGCCATTGGCTCCTCCCGTACATCACGGTTATGTACTCGACTGGTCCCCTGTTTTTGTCGGTGATCTGGAAGGAGTACATGCAGACCAACCCCAGCGAGTCTGGCCGTGTCCGCATCTTGATGCGCGATGAGTACAACCGGTACTCGTGGAGCTTCTTCACGCACCACGTGGGCAACAGCTGGCACGGCAAGGATGCCCGCTTGATCTTCTGGATGGGCCAGCACTGGGTGTTCCTCACCGTGTGCGGTTTCTTCCTCGCTGCCGTTGTTGGCTTCGCCCTCTGGTGGCTGTATGCGCGCATCATGCTGTTGGGATCGAAGTACCGTTACCGCTACTCGAAGATTCCTTCCTTTGTTTCGAGTTCCCGTCTGTCTTCGCCGACAAGGATGGGGCGGCGCATGATGCCTACCCTTCTTCGTCGCGTCAGCTTCAAGGAGGACGAAGAGGCTGCCGGCGTTACCGAAACGTCGTACGAACTCTACAGCAGACGCGATTAAGCGTCGCCCTTTGTATCATGTTTTGTGTGCCTTTCAGCCTTCCAGCGCCCTGACACTTTCCACCTGGCCGTTGTTCATCGTGCCCGTGGAGTAGCCGCTCAGGTGTGTTTTATATCATCCGCTCAGGGAGTTATATTTGATTTCTGGGGTGCATGTACGGAGTTTCGGATATGGATTAACAGCAGTGCTTCTCTTGAAGCACATGACGGCTTGTACATGTTTTGGCAAGATTCTTTGATCTGTGCGAGGCAACCTGCTAGGCAGCGCGCTCGCCCTGTATCTGTCTTTTCTTGGATGTCCGGATTTACCTTTCTTTTCTTTTCTTTGACCTTCTCTTCTTGAACCCACAGTTGTTCCTTTCGCACCTGTCTGTTTACACCTTACATCTTTTACTGTTACTACATAGACTTGCTCTCGATTTTGGGTAGACGGAACCGAATTATCAGCTCAGACGCCTGGGGCTAGCTGGACGGCAAAATAAAACTAATATGTGATTATCTCGACACTTCTGTGTTAACTCCTTGATTATGTAATATTATGTTTCATGCTTCGTGTGGCCAACTCCAACCATCAACACGTCTAACGACAAATGCAGGCCCTGAAGAACGAGGCTTCAAAAGGCAGTCTGCAGATCATATTTCGACACGACCAATCAAGGTGTCCGGTATTCGGATAAGCACAACTGGTCATGGAGAAGATTTACGACGGGCGTTTCACATTTGCCGGAGGTTCGCCAGGATCCAATCGCCGTCAATATCAGCACAAGGAGGCATGATACATGATACATTTGGGCAGAGGCATCTCTGGCAATCTCCGGACATGCCAACGCAGTGTCGTCAGATGCAACAAAAGTCCAACCAACAGGTGGCAACGGGCCAGGCTATGTGGGATGCCTCTGGCTGATGAAGGACCCTCCAGACCCTGATCCACCCTCAGGAATGCGGAGTCGATCAGGCATGCTGGGTCAACAATGACATGCTCTGAAAGACATATAAAGGGGCTGTCCCTGTCGATGATTCTTGTTCTTAGGTACTTGTGCAGGCTCACGGTGTCTTTTGTTCTTAACAGTCTTGTCCTTTGTCCTACTTCACTAGGGGTCTCAGCAACATGAAGTCAACATCAATCTTGAGCAGCATGTGCATCATGCCCCTGCTGGCATATGCATCTCCGGCCGGCCGGATCCTCGCCCGAGATACTTCCTCCCTCACCGTGGCGCAGCTCGAGGCTATTGCTCCTACGTCCAATACATGCGATAATCCACCTGCAGCCGGGGAATGCGCTACTGCGGAGCAAGCAGTCCCGCATATCACCAAGTCTTTTGACACTTATGGCGTGACGTCTCGCGCCGAGCAAGCAGCCGTGATTGCACTCATGGCATTTGAAAGCGGCGATTTCAAGTACAACAAGAATCACTTCCCCGGTGTTCCAGGACAGGGCAGTACGTATTCTCGCCTTCATCCTCTGCCTGCCATGCCAGATAGACAGGTAGATGCTAACGATTGTATACAGCACGAAACATGCAATCTCCCTCCTACAACGCCGAATACGCGGCTTCTATCCCCGCGCTCGCGAACCAACTCCCCAGCGTATCCGGAGACGTAACGGGAGTCCTGAACCTCTTGCTCTCAAACGAAGACTACGACTTTGGCTCCGGAGCATGGTTCCTGACCACGCAGTGCTCGGCTAGTGTGCGGTCCCAGCTGCAGTCAGGCTCCGAGGCAGGCTGGGCAGCATACATCACCAACTGCGTCGGGACCAATGCCAACGACGATAGGAAGGCATACTGGACGCGGGCAACACAAGCCATGGGTGTATCTACCTGACCTTCCACCTACTCATACAACATTACACATAGTGTATAAATATACTATATGCATACCATTCAAACCGACTGTAGTCAAACCAAACCAACATAATCATCACAACATACCATCCATCTACACATAAAATATTTAAAGAACCCCCTTCGTACTAACCACATCCCCGGCCCCAACCTCCCCCTCGACCCTTCTCGTACAAGCCGTCCGAATCGCCACCGCCAACGCCTTAAACGCACTCTCCGCCCGATGATGATCATTATCACCATACGTGCACCCCACATGCAGCGTCACTCCCGCGGCCTGCGCAAAACTCTGCAATCCATGCGTAATCATCTCCGTACTCAAATCCCCAATCTTCTCCCTCCGGAACCCAATGTTAATCACCGCCCACGGCCGACTCGACAGATCAATCACCGCCCACGACAACGCCTCGTCCAGCGGCGCATCGCCCCGTCCGAATCGCGCAAGCGATTGTCTTGCCCCGAGTGCTTCGGTGAATGCGCTGCCTAGGGCGAGGAATGTATCTTCCGTTGTGTGGTGGTCGTCGACTATACCATTACCAAAAAACATATTAGCATATCATATCAACCCTTTAAAAATTGAAAATACACAGAGAATAGTGGGTATGAACATACTGAACAAATCCCCCTTAGCCCTCACAGCCAAACTCCACCCACCATGCTTCGCCAACGCATGCAACATATGATCCAGGAATCCGATCCCCGTGTTAATGGTGATTTGCTGCGTCGGGGTGAATTGTGTGGCGTGCGGTGAGGCTTTGTTTGGGATAATCCCCTTCTTGCTTGCCTCGGCTTCGGTCGGGTCTGAGGGCGCCGGGAAGTGAGTGCATGGTTCGTAGGGGGGCAGGATGCCTCCGTCCAGTGAGAGGGAGATTTGGATCTTGGTTTCGTTGGTTATCCGGGTGATGGATGCGGTGCGGGGGGGGAGGGGGGGCATTTTGATGTTTGTGTCTTGTGTCTTTGTTTTGTGGTGTGGTGTGGTGTTTGGTGGAGGGATGTTGTTTGGAGTGAAGGGGTGTGTGATGCTGGATGAATTGGGGTTGATTGAGTAGAGTTGTAGAGAGTGGAGGATAGTTCGTTGGTAATCTCTTCCGCTGATTGATCAAGATCTTTTTTGCCAAACTGCGGTTTCGGACCCGCGGAGGCAGTTATCGGTATTTGGTTTACTAATTTACAGTACGGTGTGGTTCTCGGCATTTCGTTGACCCGAGTCGTATGGGTTGAATGGTTGGTTGTGCGTCATTGGTTTGCAGAACTGCCATGCGCCTGTCTGTCTGTCTGTCTTTTGTCCGCTGTGCATGCATTAGGTATTTCTCTTTCTCTTTTTCTTCTTTTACTCTATATCTACAGAGTAGCTTCGCTTAGCTACTGCATAAATCATGCCTCCCCCATCGGATCAACGTCATAATGTCGACCCCCCGGAGGAGATCACCTCCGAGGCCGTCCGCGGCTTCTTGACTGGTGCTTTTCGGGTATGTCTGTTCTTTTACTTCTATAGGGTTGCTCCCACTTTATCTTGAGTGGGAGCCGTTCATCGTATCTGGGGCCATGGTATTGACAGAATAGTTCGGCTCCGTGTCCATCCTGGCGCATATGATCATGATCCTCCCTCATCCTTTCAAGTTCTCGTCGCCCTCGTCTGCCCCCGTCCCATCGCAGTCCCCGTCGCAACCTCCGCCCAAGCAATCGCCCTTTTCGAAAGAGTTCATTCGCTCGCGACTCTTCTATCGCCCGTTAGAGGGCTTCTCCGAGTGGCTGTCCCCCGCTTCGAAGATCTACCGCGGCTTGACGCCCCAATTCAAAGTGTTTCTCCATATCGGGGCCATGACGCTGGGTGGATGTATCTGGGCGGAGCGCCGAGTCGATGAGTACATTAAGTATATTCGCAAGGTCAAACGGCTCGAAAAACTACAAGCGGAGAGAGCCGCGCGGGGACTGGAGTAAGCAAAGCGGTAGTCTAGGCATAGATGGGATGCCGACAAGGTTGATTTCCGGGTTGAGGATTTATAGTTCCAACATCAAACAACGGACCCAGTTGTCTCAAGTCATCTTAATGTCAGTGGTTTGTGAGAGGCAAAAATACCGGGAAGCTGTCGGTCGGGGCTTTGTCTCGTTGCTAAAAGTATGTCCTGTCCGGAGAGGCTGAGTCCATTTCTTTCTCCCTCGGGATTCTACCCGGCTAGCTCGGGCGTCTGAGGTTCTCCACTGATCCCAACCCCCGTGTTTGAAGGGTTCAGACGAAACACGACGATGGCCCAGTCTGGAACGTACTGGATACCCTTCGGGCCAGGTTCGGGCTGTGGACAAGCCCGTTAGAGGGGGGTTGGAGGGGGGAGGGTTTGGCTAAGAGTAGTAGTAGCTAGCTAGTTAGTTAGTAGTAGTCTAGCAAAGTCCAGAAGCAATGCTGCAGCAGTCCCCGAACGGCCGCGGTGGGGATACGGGAGGATCTCCAGATTGGTGAATCGGCCGCTTGTGTACACCAGTAGATCTCTAATTAAAATGACGACCGATTTCAGGGGCAGTTGATCCAGTTGACAGGGTGGTATCTGTTTCTGAAGAACTAGAACATTGCGCCCTTTATTTCTTTTACCGTTCTGTCTTCTTTCCCCCCTCATATTGTTCTAGGGTGTAGGGTCGGCCCTAGAGTCCTAGGGAGGAACAAGGGGGTCTAGATCATGTGGTGGGAAGAGGGGGAATAGATGCAAACAGACAGACTGGTTGGGAGCAATGTGCACACCACACCGTCAAATGAAGAATGAACAAGAAAAAGAAAATATGAACCCAAATGCAGGCGACCTCCCAATCGGTTGATCACCCCGAAGTTCATTTTACCCAGCTGTCAGTCAGTCATGGTGGCAGCGCTCCAGACCGTGGCCAACTGGAGCTACTCCGTAGTTACTAAGTCATCTCGCAGCATTCTAGCTAGCTGGTTAGCCAGGGCGAGAGAAGGATACAAGTGGAGCTCGAGCTCTGAAGCAGGAGAGAGAGAAAGCGAATAGGTGTGAGCGAGAGAGAGAAAGGCGGCCAGTCCTGCATGGGTTTACGCGGCTGGAGATCGGCTTCTCGAACGCGTTTCAATCCACCGGCGATCGGCTTCATAAGGGCTCCATCTGGGGAGGGGGCAAAATGGTGGGACAGGGAAATGAGTATCAAAGACAGTTTAGTTGAGTGGATTAGTGAGTTATTAAGTAGTTTGGTGATGGAGTCGAAGAGAGGAGAGAGGGCTGATTAGTGTCGTTCTGAAGTGATCAGATTTTGCCATTCGCCCTCTCTCTCTCTCTCTCTCTCTCTCTTTATGGAGTAGTGAGATGCAAAGACAAGCAATCCCAGAGAGGCGGACGGGTGAGGCGGCGGTTTTAGTTGGCGGCTGCTTCTATAATAAACCAGCCAGTGGGATGAAGTGGAAGGAGAAGTAAAGTTATTACATACGCTCTCTTCATCCTGCGCATCCTTGTGGTGCATCCTGGTAGTTCATTCATCCTTGTTAGATATCTTAGGAAGTACTGTCATGTAGATACTCCGTACTTGGTGATCGTGTAGGTAAAGAAAGAGAGAGAGAGAGAGAGAGAAAAAGAGAAATCACCTCCAAGAAAAAAGCATCAACTGCATTCGGCGAGCTTGGGATGATCGGCTTTCCGGAGAGAGTAACTGGAGGGTGAGAAGTAACTAAACTCTCTTTTTCCTCCCTCGCCTCGTCATGTCAATCCATCCATATTGAGCTCATCATTTATTTTATTTTATTTTATTTTCATGGTGTTGTGTTTCGTTGTGCTGTTGCATTGCCACCTTTCCTTCATCTGTCTGCTCTCTTCTGTCATTCTTCTCTTTTGTCTCCATATTGCCTCTCCATCCATCTCCATCTGCCCCCCTGATCCGTCATTTCCCTCGTCCCTTTAGTCTCTATTCCCCACTCTTTTCTCTTTTCTCTCTTCTTCCTCCTCCCATCTCTCCTCCCATCTTTCTTCCCTCCCTCCCTCCCTCCCTCCCTCCTTCTCTCTCTTTTTTGGGAATTGTTAATTGGACCATCCTCTCCTCCTAATTAGTCAACTAGTTTGTACTCATTCAGTCTCTACACTTCTTCTTCTTTTTTGTCATCAGTGACACAGTCATCGGAATTCCCGATTTATTATTATTATTATTTTCAACGAGATCCGAAGAAGCTCCGGGCGCTGACATCATAAACCCAAAAAGACGCGCTGCAAGTTAGTCTACTTAGTTCACTAGTTATTAAGTTCCTGAGCTCATTTTTCTCCGGATTGCCTGCCGTTCAGGAACTGGTTCGATCCAATCTTTTCACCTCACTGGATCCGCTTAAACAATCGCTTTCTTTGGGTCGCTGAGACGTTGACGTTGTAAACACGACAGGGAAGAATACTAGAAGGGACAGAAAGAAAGAAAGGCAAAGATAAGCAGCCAATATCCATCTTGTGCGCCTCGTCCGCATTCGTCTACTTTTACTCTGTCTCTCCCTCTCGTGTCTTCCCCTTTCCGGTGTTCTGGTGGTGAGGTTGTTGCGTTGTCTCGCCCATTGACACGGCCTAGACTGTAACCTTTTCTTACGTCCCTGGTTGCCCCGGAGTGTGCTTGGACGTTCTTTCTTCCTTCCCCCCCATTTCTCCTCTTCCGTGCATCTCAATCGCCATCGCATTGGTGTTGCTGCAATTTCGTACTTTTTTTTATTGACGTCCTCCGCTCACTCGCTCGCTACTATCGGTCTCAAAGTCTCAACCCACCCCATTCTTTTCCTTCCTCTCTCTCTCCTCCCTCCTCCGGATTCTTTAAGCTCTTCTTCTTGTCCATTGTATATCTGGTTATACTCTCTCTCTCTCTCTCTCTTCTTCTTCTTTTTCTACTTTAGTTACGAATTATCCTAAGATTGTCTCTTGTCGCCTTTTATCTCATCGATTGTCTCATCTGGTATCGAGACTTTTCCTTGGTCTTCTTTTGCTTCCCTTTTCCACCCTCTCTCTTTTTCTCTCTCTTTCCAAGCGCCCAATCTCAAATCGCGCCATTTTCTCTCTTCTCCTCCCCCCGCCGTCTCTGTTGACTTCTTTCCCCTTCTTTTCCACCTTCCATTGCCACGTCAAATCGTGCCGCTTTCCTGCGCGTCCATCTTGATTCTTCACCTCCTATCGATGGCAGCTGGCCCGACTGCTGTATGTTCCACCTGCCTTCCCTCCCCCTCTTCCCTTCTACAGCTCCTCATTTGTGCTCCTTCGCCCTGCTCCACCCCTCTAGTTCACTAGTCACCACCGGGGTCTCAATCTCCTAGGCTAGGCCTGCAGCCATGTCTATCCATCCTTATCGTCCCATCATGCTCCTCCTCGTCCCCCAATGTTCGGTGGCCTTGTTTTTTTTTTCTTACGGGTTTTCTTCCTTTTAGTGACCTACCCCCCCGCGACCTCGGCCTCCTCGATGTGGCACTTCGTCCTCGACTTCCAATTTGCTCCTGCTCCTCTCGCCCTCTAGCGTTCTCGACCCTTCCCTGTCCTGTCTTCTCCGCCCTCCTGCTTCCCCCCCGTCATGGCCGAGAGTCTGGGGAAGAAAGAGCGGAGAAAGAGCCTGAGCGTCTTCAGCCCATCAATGACTACCTCTTCCCTTCCCGCCCCCGCCGCTCATGAACGGTCGCCCTCCGATGATGCCCAGGTTCTGAAGAAGAAATCGCGCCGTAACTCGGGTTTCTTTGGGGTCCGGCACCCCAGTCCCCCGAGAGCCACGCCCACCCGTGGCTTACGTCGTCCCGGCACCGCCGATTCGGAGTCGGCCACCTACGTGACCGCGCTGCCTACCGTGGCGCTCGAGGGCCCTCGCAGCCGCCGGAAATCCCTACAGAAACGACGAACCTCCGTGTTTGGTTCCCTTCGGTCGCTACATTCCCAAGAAGATGACGACCGGTCGCTGGGCCGCTCCAAAGGCTCGTCCCTGGACGAAGACCCTCCCGAGCTGCGACAAGGCATTGGCTCCATCATCCTGCACCATGGAGAGATCTCCATCACCGGAGGCATGTGGCGCAAGAAGAGCCATTACCTGGTCCTGACCGACACGCATCTCGTCCGGTTCAAGAACCAGAGCAAAGCCGCCGATATGTTTCCCTCGATCCCGGCTTCCTTCACCTCCCGCTCAGTGGCGGCCAACCGCCAGTCCGTCGCCTCCATCAGTTCCCTGCAGGACCCTCAGCTGGCCGCGGCGAGCGAGTCCATTTCCGGCATTGCCTTGAACAGCATCATTGCGGTCTACATGTTGGACGATGGCCGACCGTCGTCAACGGTGGAGGTGGCCTATGTGGATGAACGGGCTCAAAAAGCCACCTTCATCCAGATGCAGACGCCCGACTTCCAGGAACTGAATCTGTGGATGGTGGGCATACGCTCCGCGGCGGAATTGATCCGCGGAGCCGAACCGCTGGTCTTCGATCAGAAGACGGCGGATTGCGTGGTCCGCATGCTCGAGTATGAGCGGGACTATGATCCAGAGACCTTTCGAATGTTCCGGGTCATCCAGATGGCGTCCAGCAAGTCTCCTGCACGGGCATCATCTGAAGATCTCACCAAGCTGTCACCGACGGGCTGTTATCTCGCCCTTGGGTCGCACAAGCTCCACTTGATCCCGTTGCACAAGATCTCCAGCCGCAGCTCCGTGGTATCCTTGAGTGACCTGGATGCGGCAACCTCTTTCGGACTGATGAACCTGACCTGTCTCTCCATGGAATGGGGCGACGATAGCCTGCATCTCACGTTCCGTGTGCCAACGCGGAAACCGTTCTCGGTCTTCCTCGCATCCGTGCATTCCGTGGAGATTGCCTTTTGGATTCGACAACAGACCGAGTTCCTACGTCCCTTGTGGATCAAACAACCGTATGACTTCATCGTCCCTCGGGACCTGGACAACGAGAGCAACTTCCCTCCGGTGAGCTTGGACGAGGATTACGGTTGCTTCGACCGGACATTGGTCGCCTACTCGGCTAGCTACGACATCGACACTTCCAACATCCGATATACCATTGATGTGCAATGCGATGACGCCCCGTGTTTCAGGCTCCTGCCGCCCGCCTCCGCTCGGCAAAAGAAGTACACCGCTCTAGAGCTGATCGCCGTCCTGCGAGCACTGCGATACAACGAGTCCTTCCGGTCTATATCGTTTAGTGGTGTCAGCCTGGATGTTCTGCAAGGCCTACGCGATATCTATGGCCCGGATAAAGACGCCCTGCTGAGTCGTGCCGGGGCGCCGATCCATATCCCCGGTCAGGAGAACCTATCGGTGTTGTCCCAGGAAGTGCGTGCGTTGACTCTGAAGAGCAAGTGGCTCCGACGTCTGGACTTCTCCTATACCCTGAGCCGCATTCCGAAGTCGGATAGTGAAAGTCACGATCCAGGATGTGGAATCCCTGAAGCCATTTTCCCCATTTGCCGACGAGAGCTGACGAGTGTTGACTGGGTGGTGTTGAACGGTATCAAGCTGGGCGATTCGGATCTCGACTACCTTGTGGATGCCTCGTCTCAACGGTCCAGTCACATGCGAGCATTGGAGGTGGGCAACTGTGGCTTGTCAGTTCACGATCTTGACCTTCTCCTGTCCACGGTCATCGCCCAGTCCTCGACTCTGGAGGCGATGAACATCTCGGGTGTTCAAGGTCGCCTCAGCCCCGACATACTCCAGCAGTACCTCGGCTATTTCAGTCAGATCAAGACGCTCGACTTGTCTCGTATCTCTCGCACATCGGGCACAGAGCCTCTCCTCACTTCCGAGACGTTGTTCAACTGGCGCCTGGAGGAACTCTCGCTGAGCCGGACCCTCGTGAACCGCGAGACCGTCGATGCCATAGCCACATACCTGGCCAGTGATCGATCTCGGGGTCTGCGCGTGCTTCGCCTGGACCAGTGTGGACTCAGCGGTCAAGACGTCGCCATCTTCCTGCATTCCATGACAGCCAATGGGTTTCCTCGCGATTTGCATCTTCACGTCAATGAGAACCGACTTGACCAAGGCTGCTCATACCTCTTCAAAGCCATTGCACAAAACAAGACGCCAACTCATATGTCAATGAGGATGATTGACTTCAAGAAGGAGGAACAATTCCAGCAGCTGGTGGAGGCCTTGCGAAAGAACCGGACCCTAAAATGTCTAGACATCTCCAAGGCTTCTCTTCCGTATGATGCTGGCCCTGAGACGTGCAAGGCGCTCCAGCTAATGTTCGAGGAGAACGAGACGCTTGAAGATTTGGATATCAGTGGCGAAAGCGCTCATTTGGATGTCGCTCGGTTTGGAATTGGTCTGAATCTGGCCCTGACAGGTCTGAAAAAGAACAAGTCCTTGCGAGTCCTGAGGATCGAGCATCAGAAACTGGGTCTGCAGGGTGCAAACACCCTGGCCTCGGTGCTGGAAGACAATGAATGTCTACGTGAAGTATACTGTGAGAACAATGACATCAACCTACAGTCGTTCACGGTCCTGGTGAATGGACTGCAGCGGAACAGATCCCTATTGAGTCTGTCATTTATGGATCGTGACCGCGTCCAGTCGCTCGAGCGGGTCCGGCGTGAGATCCGGAACGTGAAGCGGGATGCAAGCCTGGCGCAGAGCTCGGCAACCAGCTCTATTCGCCGTTCGTTACATGCCGCCATGAATGGAAAGACGAGCAGCAAGTCATCAAAACAGCAGCATACGTCTGGTCACCGCTCCGGTGCCTCAGTAGCCTCGAGCCTGAGTGCTACTGCCGAGACCTCACCCCTCTTGCAGCAAGACGTGGAGGTTATTCTTCAGTCGTTGAGCCGGAAATGGGATGGTGAGGTTGCTCGTCTTCGTCGTTATCTGTATCGAAACTACAACTTGGCTCACGGTATCGAAGATGATATGGCCGGGTTGGATGATGACACTTCGAGCGACGGACGCCCCACGACAGCCGGCAGCCTTGGGTTGATGCTGGACCATTTGAAACTAGACGTGTCAGTGTCAGAAGCTGAAATTCAGCCACCACCGGAGCTTCCCGTGCAGTTGCCGCCGGAGATCGAGCCCACGAGCCCGAAAGACCATTTGGATATGTTCAAGGGACTTGATGCGGAGAGTAGTCTGGTTGCTGAGCTCCGGCAACGCCCGCAGACGGCTCCTTTCTCAGTCCCAGGCTATGCTCCTCACATGCTACCACCAGAGTATGCTGGCTCCAGCACATCGTCTTCCCGTCTGGCAGTGCCTGTGCCTCCTATACCATCTACGGTCAGCAAGTCCAGCAGCGTCCGCAGTGCCCGCAGTTCCAGTACGGTCTCCACCAGTACTCGGGCTAGTGCGCGGAGTACGTACGGAACAGCCTCATCGACGCTGCGCGGCTTTCTCAGTGGCAGCGCCTCGAAAGAACGCAAGAAGCTGGAGAAGATGAGATCTGGCGCTGTGTGTGTTTCAACAGACCGACCTCCGAAGCTGGAGTGGGCGCCTCCTCCCCTTGACCTGGGGAAGTTCGAGTGATGCCCCGCTAAGGAGCCGTTCGTTCTTCGCTCAAACATGATTAATGAATCAAATCACGATACCTCGCAAGCCCATTTTCGCTAGTCGAAAATATGCCTCGTGTTTTACGCCGTCACCGTTCGGCTCTCCATCTACATCCATCCCCTTCCTCTTTTCCTTTCCCTCCATCTCCTTACCGAAGCACCGATTCCCCGCGCAGTGGACGACGCCGGTATTCATTCCTCTCCTGCCTCTCAGAAAGGGCATCGATCCTTGACCATCCGTTGTTTCCTTTACCTCTTCTCTTTCCTCTTCTCTTTCTCTCTCGGTTCTGTGTCCTCTCGCGCCAGCTGGTACTCAGAATTCTGGCGTGTCCACCGGACACTTACCACCTCTTTCGTGTCCCTCTCTCATCTCCGATTTTCCTTCTATCATGTGTTAGCCTCAAGGGGCAGTTGCCCCGGGAAAAGCAAGAGCACTTGGTTTCGCATCTTGCTGTTTGGCGCAAGGGCTAGGTGGCGTTCCTTTAAATTTCCTTTTCGAGAACCCTGGGTTTTGATGGTGCTTTGCGGATCTATCGCCTTTGTTTTTTTCTTTTCGTTGAAGCCCATTGATGCCCTAATTGTTAATGTCATAGAGAATATTCTCCGTCATGGAGAGGATTGACCCGCAGGGGGACAAAGACCATGTGACCCATGAATGAGTGGCCTGTAATTGATTATTTCGTTTCTTTGGTCGGGTCAGCACAGTCGGTGTATTGTTGATATGATGTGTAGAGAGCAACCATCTGTGAATACATGTGTATACTACTTACTACAATGGGATGATATCTCGGTTGATCTTACACTTGGATGTCCTTTCTGTTTATCGTATCGTATGCCTGCCTATTCTTACCATATCTATATTCTACCATTCACTAAGAACCACTATCGAATAGCTACCAACAGACAGACTTACAATATCACCGGCGTCTACGATAATAAATCGAAGAAGAGAGCACAGACAATTCAGAAGAAACAACACCCAGCAGGCTACAATGACATTGGTTGCAGCCCAGGTGTGAAAGGAGAATATTTGAGATCATTATAGTATACATACATATAAGGTGTAAGGGAGCATGAGGTATCTATAGAGAGTATTGATGAGGTGAAGAGTAGGTATCGAAAAGAGAGGCGGAGCAGCAGATTAGATCGATTGACTGATTGATTAGGTAGATAAAATGCCTTCTCGCGCCGCGAGGTGATCAATCCATCAGTGAATCAATTAATCAATCAATCATCCTCAATCCACCGTTCCGCCTAGCCGAAAACAGCAGGAGACAGAGGAAAGAGGTAGTAGACAAAGCTTAATCGCGCAAAACGACTAGCTTCTCCTGCTCATCCAGTTTATTCTGCTCCTTGCGGTACTTGCGACCTTTCTTGGCGTATTCGCGGAGACGGCGAATGTACGTATTGGCCGCAACGTCAGTTTCGTCCTCGCCGCGGCCGGAGAGAGCCTTCCGGCGACGTTCCTGGCACGCGTTGTAGAGTTTCCAGCACTTGTTACTGTCGAGGTGGTTCAATTCGTAGTCCACGGACCACTTGTTAGGGGATTGGAACTGGATCGGGCGGTCCACGTATTCGCCATCCACGATGTTGCGGACGGTGAGGGCAAAGCCCATGATTTCTTTGCTTGGGGTCGTCTCGGCTTCGTCTTGGGAGGTCTCGGACTTGGTTGTGGCGGAGTCTTCGGTCAGGTCGTCTGCGGAGCTGGAAGACTCGAAGTCGGCGGGGATGTCTTCAGTGTCGTTGGTGGTTGTTGTTGTTGTGTCGTCGTCTTCGTCGGCGCGACCGGGGAGGTCGAGTACGCGGCGCTGGTAGGCGTCGATTTCGGCTTGGTTCTTCGTTTGGATTGCGTGGATTTCCTCGTCGGTGACGGGCTCGGCGAAGATGTACATGTACGGGGGTCCGGCCGTGGAGTCACGGGTCTCGAAGTGGAAGCGGAGAGATTGTTTGGGGAATCGGGCCGTGACCTTGTTGAGAACCTTGTTCCAGAGCTGCAGACTCAGGAGGAACTCCCGGTCTCCCAGGGTGGTGTCGTATTGACCGTGCAATGCCATGTCCAGTTCGGGCAAGCTGAGGTACTGGAATCCGAAGATGCGCTCGATGTTGTGGAAAGCCACGAAGATACCGTCCATGCGGCCGATGCGCACCTGGAGGGAGTACTTGAGGAGAGCGGCCCGGATCATGTCGTAGTACTCGCGCTCATACGACTCGTAGGTGCCGTGGGCTTTCCGGATCTCGTAGCCCAGGCCGTGCTCGAAGTTCTTGGCGTCCATGCGAATGGAGGCCACCGCCCGGGTCTTCAAATCGAACATGCCGGTACCGGGGAGCCGCGGGTCGTAGGCATCCAGCTGTGAACGCATCAGGAAATCGCCGTAGGTCGAGTAGTGGTAGGCTTCGGGCACTGCCTGCTCCTCTTCGGCGGAGATCTTGTTGGAGCTGGATCGTCGATAGCGCTCGAATTCCTCCTTTGGCATAGTCAAGAGCTTCTCCATCGATTTACCCAGATTCATGAGAATGTTGGCCGTGTCATGCTCCTTATCGGCATCGATGGCATAGACGCCGTTCTGGTAGCGCAGAAACATGGCCGAGGGAGCTCGCAAGAGCCGCGTGAAGGTGCGCAGCCTTTCCTGAAAGCCGCGCGACACTTGTTGGATGTTGACCTCTCTCCAGTAGGACAGAAGATAGTGGAAGTGCGACAACACGGATGTCATACTGGATGAGGAGCCAATGTACTTCTTCTTCTCCTTCTGCGCCAGGCCCCGTAACTGCTCGTCCTTAGAGGAGGTGATGTATTCCTTCAACGCTTCGAAGTCGAATTCGGTGACAGGCATAATGGAGCCAAGGTATGGATCGAAATTGTAGACGCGCGATCGGGGATCCCGAAGATGGTAGACTCCCGGGCTGTATGTAACAGCAGCTGTTAGCTCCGCTTTGAAAGCGACTGGTTCCTAGGGGCATATGAAACAACTTACTTGAACAGCACTCTGTCCAGGCCATAGGCCAGTTGCGGGACTTCGGGGGTCTCGACATCCAGGGCTTTGCGCTAGTTAGTGATCCAGTAGGAGATTTCACAAGTCGCTTGAGGAAGACGCACCTTTCACGGAGTCTCGGTCTGCATTGATCTTTCCGGTGTCCTTTCCGGTGATCGGAACAGGAAGCTGTAATTTGGTAGACTGTTTGTTGGCCTAGCATGGAGAGTTAGACTCTGGCTAGTCCAAGTGGGAAGGTGAAGCTGACTGACCAATACCTGCGGTTTGGGAGATGTTGAGGAGTCAGGAGCAGTCTTCTGCTGCGCGCGAGCTTTTTGGTCCTTCTTGTCCTTCGGCTCCGGTTGCTTGTTCTCCTCCTTCGGAGTCTCATTTGCAGGGTCCGTCTTGCGCATGTTCATCGCTTCTTGCTTGGCGGCCTTTCGGACCGCTTTCTTATCCGCATTTTGGGGTGACTTGGAGTTTTGCGTCCGAAGGGACTTTTTGACATGGGTGGGTGTCCTTCTATCCGGGAGGTTCTGTCCGCAGCAGCAGGCGGTTAGCATTCACATGTTTTCAAGCTTCCGCTTAGTGGCTCTTGATGGGAGCATCTCAATGTCGCATACATACCTTCTCTAGTGCCTTAAGCTGCTCTTCAATGGCGACCGTGGAAGAAGTCTCGGTGGCCTGGGAGCGCAACCTGGGCGCGGTGTGGAAGCGGCGAGCCCAGGGCTGGGCTTCGAGGCCGCGAGCTAAGCATGAGAGACAGACATGCTCGCGCAAAGGGTCTGAGACAGACCGCAGGGTGGCCCGATACATTCGGGCCAAATCAACGAGCGACAATGGAAGAAGAATGCAGAAGCAGCCAAAGAAGGATTTGAGGGATGGAAGGGACGCTGAGAAGGAATGAACTGAGGAATTGATCGAAAAGCTACATTTTTTTTGCCTTCGAAGCTTCGCCGCGCTTCGGCTTTTCTGCCCGTCGGGGTGTGTTCACCGCCCGGGGAGTTCATCTAATACGATGTTTGTAATTGGTATGATCGATACGGAAATAAGATACGGGTCTGGATACGGCGTGGTATTTGTCTGTCCATACAAACGGGTATCGATAACAGGCAATGTACCCAGGAAGTACCAGCCAGTAATCTCCAAAGTACCCGCGGAGTATAGCTGAGATAGTGCGACTCGACACTTGAGAGAGATCTTCTTGGATGTGAGATATGAGAGAAGAAAAGACTCTAATCCCTATTACTCCCTTTAATTCTTTCTTGCACATCTTAATGTTCAAAACATTCAACTAAATAGCTATTCATCTACTCTGTACCCTGCCTACTGCTGTACTCCGAATCCGGGGTCGGAGGTGCAATTGATTGGCCCCGCCGTGCCGCCAATCGATAAAAAAAGTCAAAAAAAATTCCCAGCGACAAAGTTGAGTTTGGTTTTCTTGTTTGCTCCCATTGCTTCTTTCGCTCCTCATTCTCGCTCTTCTAGCTCTGTGTGCAGTTTGGTCTCGAGGTAAGTAAAGAATTGTTTTACTCTTTGCATGGAACCCTCCACAATTGGACTTGTTCTGGGGCATTTGACCGAAAGAAACCATGAGTCAAAGTATCCCAATGGGGGGTTTCACTTGCCCCTCCATCCACTCCATCTTCTCCTCCACACTCTCTCTTCCTTTCCCTCTCTTTCCTCCTCTCCTCTCACCACCCTCAAACCGCACATTTGTGCTTCTTCTCTGACCTTATTCTTGTCAATCAGGTCCTCAGAGAACCCTGCACCTTTCACTATGACTACGGAACGGTTGCGCGTTCTCATCGTCGGCAATGGCGGCCGTGAACATGCGCTGGCTTGGAAACTGACCCAGTCTCCCCGCGTCGACATTGTCTACGTCGCTCCCGGCAATGGAGGCACCGCTCAGGGTCCCGACAGCAAGATCCAGAGCGTCAACGTCAAGGGCAATGACTACCCCGGTCTCGTTGCTTTCGCCCAGCAGAACGGTGTCAACCTTGTTGTCCCCGGTCCTGAGGCTCCCCTCGTC